CTTTAACACATTAGGAATGCCTTTGTAAGTAAGAAATAAATAAATCAGAAAAAGTGTTTAATTTTGGAGTCAGTCTATCTGTTCATATTATTTCAAGGATAACTTTAGTCTGCTCAGAGATGCTGTCGGCCATGAAGGATTTCAATATAAGTCACCATTACAACACTTTGCACAAAGCTAAATTTAAGAAATTTACTGAAGTCACGGGTATTTAAACAGCGACATTTTACCAAACCCACAACCACGCAGGATTTATTTTTTTGTTTGTTTCAAATGTTTTGTATGTGTATCAATTAAACAAGAGTACAACTGTTATACATTCATTTTGGTTTAATAAACTCATAAAAATCTTTTAAATAGCAGTTTTGTTACATATGGGCAAGTGTACAGCGCTGTGTAGCCCTTTGGTAGTGTCAACAAAAAATGTGGCCGTTACATTGTTTAAGTTGCCCATCCCTGAAATAATTCATTACCTATCCTACAGATCTGAATATCATGTATTTCAGCAATATGATGTTTAATGCACTACTGGTTAGATGCCAAACTGCGTTCTTTTGCGTTATTGTACATCTGTAATGACAATAAAGTTTAATCTAATCTAAATATGAGAATAAAATCATACACTAGCAAATCTTTTTAGAAAGTGAAAATCTGTTGAAAATTTTACAGCACTGCCATTTTCTTTTTTTATGCATTTGAATTCCGAATGTTAGGTGTTTGAATCAGTATGATTCATGACGGAGGAAAATGAATGCCAATGTCTGCTGTTAATACTAGAAAATCATTGCAATTCACCCTCTGCATGCATTAAATATCTGTTGAAAATGTCTGCAATCCATCAAAAAAAAAATCATTGAGTTATTTCGGTTTGGATCAAAGCAGAGAATCAAGCATCACACCGACACTGACAAGCTGCTGCTAGAATGAATAAAAAAAGTCTGCTTTTTCCTCAGCCTTTTGAACTGAAAACAGAGAATATGGCTTTAAGGACTTCTTACCCTCTTTTTGCTCTCTCTGGCTCTGTGTGTAAGAGGGCCCTTTCAGTATTCCACACTTGAGCGTTTTATGCTTAATCCTCCTTCTTCAAACTGTAAGGGAGAGTAGAGATGAAATATGGGGAGGAGGGAGGGAGGAACCATCTCCAAATGCCAGTGGACGTGATTTAGTCTTAGTACCCAGAGAGTACAGGCCAGATGGTGAGTTTAGGAAGCCTGAAATCTCAGCACCTGGCAAAGTGTTTCCGAGGCATGGCATTAATCAACAACTTACCCAACTCCCTGCATATACATTATGCTCATTTTGCGCTATGGGGGCGGCAAACAGAGATCTTATTTATTCCAGAAATAATTGCCTAAAGTCATCCTCGCCATCAAACATATTTCCCTCTGGACTCAAAACAAAAGCATTTAATGAACTGAATCGTGTTCTGTGAAGTTTGTTGTCTTCGATGGAGTGACTTAAACTTACTCTGAGGGCCCTTTTCTACCTCAGTAACTTAGTTGGACAGTTTTCATATTAGTTGTAAAACACTTCATTGCCCGGCTGCGCCTCTTCGTCACTACAAAAGACAGCAACACCGTGACTAAGTGGMATTTTGAACCTTGTGGAGTGTCAGGTGAGGTGCGTGAGTGCACTCTAATGTTTTATGAACACATCTACTCTTTTCATTGCCGTTTGAGCTCCCGTTGTTCCAAGTTTGGCACGGAGTCAGACTGTTTCACCTGCCTGCAGAACGAGCCACTTTGCATTAGCTTATGTATCCTAACACCTGAATAATTCCTCTGGACGTTTTTTTTTTATTTTCTTTTTATGGCATGAACATGTTAATGTATAATTGATGCTCTGAGGAGACAAACTGCCGACATCTTCATTTAGGTGCCTTTGGCAGACAGAGGGAGAGCYGTTTCACTTGATTTGTTAGTTTTAAAGTGTACAATTTCATGGCTGAGGAGAAAAAAAAAGACCTGAGGTAATCATGAATAGCGTTAGCTCACCGGCACAATGGCAGCAGACGATGGCTGTACAGATTGATCGGCATTTGTTTGTGTTTCTTCTCGCAGTCTACCCTGAAAGGAGCTAATCTCACAGTCTTCGGCTGCCTTAACCACGGGATGCCTCTCTTCTTGCGAGAAAACTCATCACTGAAATGTGAATCAGGTACGTCAAATTTTTTTCCTTTTAAGAAAATAAGAAATTTTCCAGCACAGTAATTCTTAAATTAACAGTTTAAATTATGTTTTATATATTTTTTAGAATCGGTGGCTGGCTTTTTCCTCTCTGTGAATGTTTCTGCTAATATTACCAAGCTGAGGATTCCCTACCCACAAACAGGCACTTGGTACCTCAGTCTGCGCTCTCTGTGTGCCACTGAACATGGGTGAGATTTATCTACATAAAAACCATTTAAAAAAAGAAAAAAGAAACTTCAAATTTGCATTTTTATAATGTGTAAATATATAACATATTTAAAATAGCTTCAAATTTAAAATAACGTTTCATTCTGAGCAGGTTGATGAGCTAACACATGTCAAACTCAAGGCCCGCGGGCCAAATGTGGCCTACCAAGGGGGACACCCCCCAAAAAATACAGATAAACAAAACAACAAAATATATATCTTTTCTTAAAATGAAAATTGTTTTTATATCAGTGGTAAACTTTAAATGTAAATGCAACAAATATATGCAACAAAATAAACAAATTGAAAAGGTGAAGGATAATACTCTTCCTGCCCCTGAGATGTTTTTTTTCTAAAGTTTATCAATTTCGTTTAAAAAAACAAAACAATTTCTATATTATGACGTGTAATCTCAAATAAAATGAAAGGCAGCAAAAAGAATAAAAAAATCTTATATCTGCCCCACCAAAAAATTTAATTTCCAAAAAATTAATTCAAACAATAATCTTCAAATAACAAAAACAATACAAATAACAAAAAATGTTAACACCCTTTTAAGTAACTGGATAGCGCAGTATTAATGTCTCAAAATAAGCTGCTTCAAAGTCAGCATTGACCATAAACTGCATCTCCCATAATGCATGTTGATTATACATGGGAATTCCCTGTAGGAAACTGGGAGAGTTCAGAATTTAAGACGGCAGCTCACCACAACTCATCAGTGAGCAAAACTCTCTTACTTTTACTTTTAATAGTATTTCTGTAGTATTTATTTTACATTTAGTCAGTCACACACATAATGCATTTTGCAGTGTTTGGACGTGTTAAAATACTGTTTCTATGCAGGAAATACCATGTAGAGCTCAGTTATTGTTTGTTAGCGGTGCTCAGCTGTAGCAATGAGACAAGTTGAAGTTTAAAAATAAAACAACTCAATTATTTACAACAATTTACCCTTCGAGGGCCACCATAACGCTCATGTGGCCCTCTGTGAAAATGAGTTTGACACCCCTGAGCTAATGGCTCCAGTGGTGCCCAATCCTGTTTTTGAGGGGCCACTACCCTGCATGTTTTAGATGTTTCTCTGCTTTGGCACACTTTAATTTATTTGAGTTTAAATGAATGAGGAATTAACAAGCTTCTGCAGGACTTAAAGACCTGCTGAAGATCGTGGATACAACTAAAACATGCAGTATAATGGTCATTAAAGACCAGGATTAGGTGCCATTTTGCTAGTCCAAGCGAGGCCAAGARAAAAGTTYATTACTGCCATTTTAAAACAACTCCAACCTCCAAATTCTGAAAGCATCTCATGCTTCTTTCAACTATCTTGAAATTATTTGTTTGAAGTGCTGCAGAAAGCCTCAGTAGTATCGGTTTTCCTCCAAACTGAAGCTAATAAAAAGGCTATCTATTACAGGTAAGATATTCTTTGTTTGTGATTGTAATGAGCTTTCAACAGAACCCCACTTCATAATTAAAACAAACAAACAAACAAAGGTGAAATAGGGTTGAGCCGATCCTTCTGACAGCACGTCTTGGTAGGAAAGGGAACAGTCTCTCAGAATAACTAACCCCATCTTAAAAATGGAAGCTTCTGTATAAACTGTGTTCTCTGCAGGGTTCATCCCAGAATATCTAAAAAAACATGATTTACAAGCAAAAATTCACTGAGTGAAGTTGGCTGAATGTTGCTCATAAATTTTTGATGGTCTCATAATCAGTTCAGGCTTTCGTCCCGACGCCCCACAGCAACCTCCGTGAGACAATATTTACAGTCTATCGCAGGAAGATCATCACAAAACAAGATGTTAAATATTTGTCATATCACATCTTCTAAATATTTTCATTAAGACATCWAATGGTTTGCATTTTTTTTGTAAGTTTTAAGGTATTTGGCTTTCATCAGATTGAGCTGTTGTGCCAAACATTTAATGACCCAAAAATGTGAACAGGATTGAATTAGGATGTTTTTTTTTTCTCCCCCTGGCTCTCCTGAGAGTTCCAGCTGAATTTGAATTACAGATATTAACAGATGGTGTGGGACATGTTCTCATCCTCACTCCAAAGCTTAGCGGAGGTACGGAAATGGTGACAGCGTTCACAAAGCTCTGTGTTACATTTCACACTTTTAAACACGCTAAATCAGTCCAGTCTTGCTATAGAAAAGGAGCGGCGCTGCGACTGGTGACAGTTCCTTTTCAAAGCTGTAATTARGTTGTTTGAAACAATGCACGAATCAAACAGGGAGCAATTTTATCATTAAAAAAAAGTGTTGTAAAGGGAAATAAGAAAAAYAACACGTTACTTCCTGGAGTTTTATTTTCTGTTGCTGACAAACTCTTTTTGTTTTAGAAATAAACACAAATTTAACAAKTGCTGTTGCTTTTAGGTGAATAGCAAAATATTCATTATTTTTTCTTTCTAACACTCGTTTGGAAACGATAATGACGCAGTTTTCTCTGATTACATGTGGAGCAATTGAGAAAAATTCAGTTTTAGTTACTAAATCAAAATGGCTCATTAGGATTAAATTATTATTATTTTTGTCTGTAGAACACAAGGAATTTGCTTTTGTATATCCATAAGTAAGCTGGAAGCCTATTAAATTAAATTCACGTCTTTGAAATAGAAAATTACGTTTTAATGATTATYCCATCTTAAAGAACAACACAGTCAGCTCCAGTGAAATATTCCTTTCTGTGTAATATTCTAACTAGAAGAAATGTTGAGGACCAATCCGGGGACTGGCCACAGCTCCAARATGACTTTGTAACAATCAAACAAAAGAAAAGTCTGTGCTTTCATGTGAAAATTATATAAAAAAAGTTGTTTGAAGAAAACCAAAGCTGCTGCCAGTGGCTCAATATGGTCACKATCGTAAGCACACACCTAAGTCTGCAACTTCCTGACAGCCAAGTTAATGAGAGACAGGRAAACAGTGGCTGTACAGAAAACTGAGTCAGATCTTAAAACGTCCCGAGTCGTGAGCAGCAGAGAACTCAGGTGTGAATTCCTCTGGTTCTAGTMTTTTATGTTGGAGAGTAAAAATGAAGCTTTGCTTCCATTTTTGAAGAGATTTTCGAGTTAAAATATTTGATTTCTCTTTGATTTCACAGAAATAGCTTAGTTAATTAAGTATTTTAT